GCTAGTACCAGCCTTGAGGTCTCTTCCATTCAACAACCTTTCAATCTCAACTCGAATTTCCTTCAGGTTTCTTTTCAGTGTTTTCGCGTCCTCGAACTTTCTCTGTGCATTAGCTTCTTCTATGAAGCTTTCCAGCAAAGCCTCTTGCTCTAGTAGCGGTTGGAGCGTGTGTGCCAGTGCCGCGTCAGAATCGGTTATATCAACCAGGTTTGAAGGAAGGGATAAGGTGGTGACAGAAGTGTTCTTAGAATGAGTTTGCTTGCGTGGTTTGGGTAGAGACTATTTTGAATGACCGATGTGTCAGACTCTTTCGAACTAGGTGACAGAGTAACTCACTTGTAGTGGGAACATATTCTTTTGTAAGAACAAGGTCGCTCGATTAGAGATGGCATTCTGCACTCTTTCTTGAGATGAACCTGGACCTGAGGTTTTGAGGCCTTTTATTCGCTTGGCTATAGCATCATATTGAGTAAACGACTCAAGTAATTGTTTTCTCAACGTAGTCGCCTGCTTGACAGGATTTTGGCCAGCCGCTGGTGTCGTTGGAGTGGCAATATCATCCTCCTGACTTTAGATCTCATTAGCATCGGAAAGACACCTGATCCAAAGACGAGGGTCTGGATTAAAGGACTAAGGACGTACGATAATCGAATAACAAGTTCTTGAAATTCTGGCAAGGTCTCCTCGATCTCCTTCTCGATAATAAGTAAGGCCTCGTAGAGCCGCGCAAAGGCGGGAACTGTCCTGGCTTCCACAGAATATTGCCTCCTGCGTAAAGTGGGTCTACAGTCTTTACAAATCCTCACTCCCTTGAGATATTTCTCTTGATCCTCGAGTATTTTCTTGGCTAGTGCCGCTTCATTCTTCCCTTGTCCACTAGTTATGACATCTTTTCGTTTGACGCCATAGTCCACAACTTCTCCGCCAATCTCTTCTATCATCCCAGTTTTGGAGTCCACGACAAAGAGGAAAGAACACAACTCTGGTCGTACTAGATGTTTTACTGGGAGAGAACACACCACGCGACCGCACAGACGACAGTGATGTTTCCGATTTGTAAGAGCATTGAATGAAGTTAGGCACAAGGGGCATGCAGATACGGCAGAATCCTCCTGCCAGGGTGTAATGGCCTGTTCCTGTTGTCTGATATCGCCTTTGGAATTGAGCAGTTTTGAGGACGCGGCTGAGTCGACTACATCCCGCCAGAGATCAGATGCATTCTTTCCTTTCAGGTCAGGGAGGTTAAAATCGAAAAAGGAAGATTGACGCCTGTTCGCAGGTGGCTTCGAAGGATCGAGGCCACCAGGGCTTGGTGGGTTGCTTGTTTTGGATGCACCGGGTGAGAAGTGAAGGTCTATGAGCTAAAAACGCATTCATGTTAGAGAATGTTTATTAAAGCGGAAGTCTTTCTACCTTTTCTAGTCTCCGTTCTAATCTTCGATCTTCTATTTTAGCCGCGTCCCTCTTTGCTCTTCTTAACTCGACAAACTCATCCGTCCTCATTCCATAGACACCTTTTGGCTGGAACCCGTGTCGGTATGGAGCCGCTCCCACCGCCCTGGAAGATGTTGAAGTGGGACGACTAGGGGGCTGTATAGTTGAAGTCGATGAGCCAGAAGCGACAGTAGATGTATTAAGGACTGGAGAAGCGGAAGGTCGAGAGGGTGATGCCGACGGGGAAGGAGTGGTACTTCTTGATTTAGAACCAGCTGAAGCAAATTCTTGTGGAGTTAATAGTGGGGAATTGGATGGCTTTGGTGATGGATTTAGTGCCATGGATGATAGGGGAGACGGAATCGGAGGTGTATGAGTTCCTGTTGGGATAGAGAGCGGTGATAGAGTTGGGCTAGGACTAAAATCCAGGATCTTCGTATTCCCAGTGCTAGTTCCAGGACGGCTATGGGGCTGAGGTGGTGCGATATTTGCTGAGGTTGCCCTTGAGGGAGCCCCCAAGGTGAGAGGCGTGTGACCCACCAGAGTGTTACTGCCTAGAGGGGAAGGGTTATGCTTGAGTACGGACGCCGATGGTCGTAAAGGAGATCCACGGGCGGGGACATGTCGAAACGTAGAATTTGAAAGTACACGAGGTCGAATAGTGGTGTTGGGCAGACCGCCAGTGGCAGCCGAAGTTGCACCTGTGGGCGTGGATGGAGAGGCCGGAGCTGACAGTTCATTCTTTGGTGGTTCAACCACTAATGGAATGGGTATCGACGAGATTTTAGATGTACTCGGCTCTGCATCAGTGACGGGAGGTTTGGTCACGGTGTCTGTAGATGACGGGAATGCTTTAAATGGCTCATCTACGACTCTCGGTGATACAGGTGCCGTATTCGATTCCGAGATTGGGGAAGGTGGTACTTCTTGTATTGGAATGGGTGCTGTAGCCACTGCCGTGTTTGATACCACTGGGTTCTGTACAGTGGACGGTGGAGTGACAGCTCTGAGCGCTGGTGAAGCTGGTGTGGCTGGTGTCGTACTCGTACTCGTAGACTCAACATTCGAAGACTCGAGAGACGTGTTCCGTATGGAAGTTATCTTGGGAGAACCATTTGGAGCCGGTGTCGGGAGTGCTTTGGAAGGAGAACCAACTGGGTTTAAAGGCGGTGATTGAGGAGGCGTGAATGTATTTGACAGATTTCGTGAATGTCGTTTCGACTATGTATGGGGAGCCACAAACGCTTTAGCAGGACGTTGAACGCAGGCGTCAGTAAACACGTACTTGATATGCTTTGTACGGGACTGCGGAAGACATCAAATCACACAAATTTAGCAAGAATAAACTCCAAAGTTTTAACAGGCCAGCTTTAAACGGCTGCCTGGCTGTGATCACCAAATGGCCAGGGAAAGTGGAAAGGAATCCTGATCTTCGCTTACATAATCAAGTGTCTTTCAATCTTGGCTATCGGACTACACTCGAATATCTAAATCATCAATTCAAGAAGAAAATATATCTGAGTAAATTGCAGACTAGATACGTGTTCATGGTGCTTAAACATCAATGATTTAAGGGTGCAAGGTATTTTCGTGGAGGTGGCCCAAATTGGGATAACGGGTAGCATAGCGCATAGCCGCCATGAAGACGGCAATTGACTTCGGGTTGTCCAGTATCAGGAATCATACGTGGTTGTAAGATCAATGTCTGAACCGTACAGATTAGAAGATGCCAATCGAAGCCGGATTGCCCTTTGTCTACTGCATACCGCTGGGTAACGCGGCGTTTATCTTGGCTGGAGAGATGACTATGTCGTTGCTGTCAATTAGCCGGACTGTATCTGTGTGGTTTCCCAAATCCCTATTCATGATAAGTGGCGAGATCTGGGCAGCTGGCCCGCAACGCATGAATCGCTCGTGTTCCTGCCTTTTCGCTGCATACGAATCCCTTCAATCGATCAACGGACAGTCCCATTCTTGTTCCATCAGCAAGTTCCTGTCAGGGTTCGTTAATGGGTCCGTATCCTACCAGAACTGTCTGCCCCCGTAAAAGTCACAGCTCCGCAGGGCTATCCAATATATCAAAATCCATAGTTTCAAATCGTTCGGAGGTGCGTTTTTGGTCTTGAAGGGGATACAGGTTGAGCAGGACCGTGCCTGGTAATTCTAAAAATCTCCGTTGCTCGTGGAGAGGGACGACGGAGACCCACATCACCCCTAGAGCATGACTAGGTCCCTTGATAAACTCTAGAGCTATTCCCAAGACATCTTGGGGGAGCGGAGGCCACTGGGTCAACCAAAGGCGGTTGCAATTGTTTGAAACTAGCCTAGGAATGGCAGGACCGCGGCGTAAAAAGGACGGGGAGAAGCAGAAAACGATACCAAAAGTGACAGTTGTATAAGATGGGTTATAGATAATTTCTAGATAAATTCATTTTTAGAGATCAGTGAGGAAGGGAACTGAAAGGAGATACAATCGAAACAGCCGCCAGGCCACCGCATGTTTCGTCTCTAACCGTGTATCCAACCTCGACCTCCGAATATCGCCCAAAATATTCAAAAAATCACAAATAAATCATTTTACTCAACTTAAACGACATCATACTACGATACACCCTCTCTCTCAGTCACCAGCCGCGTTCAACACCCTGCAGTGGGGATGCGAGCATTCCTACAAAAATTGCGGGGAGGTAATAGCTCCAAAGGGAGTTCGAATAATGGATACACACCGACTTCAAGAGAGTTAGAGAAGGAAAAGTCCTTTCCACCTCTCCCGGAATGGCCTCCGCCAGCTCTCAACACTACTCGCAAAGACACCACTATCAATGTCCCAATCCCCTCTACTGCCGCCATTCCTTTGACCTTTGAACCTCCTCCTTCAAGTGTTAAGAACACTCCTAATTTCCCGACAGCTGGTCGTCCGTCTTTATCCACCGCTACCGAATCCGAATTACCTCCAGTACCAACTGAACCTCAAACGGTCGAGCCAAAAGCGGAAGAAAAGCCTAGAAAATCCCTGACTAGTGCTAACGGCAGATCTACTCCTACAGCAGCATCTAAAACCTCGCACTCCCGGAAGAACAGCGCGGGCACGCCGCCGCCAGGCGCCAATAGCTCCACTGCAAATCCACTCCCAAAGATCAATGGTGCAACAAGCACATTCGCCACGCCAGGATACGGCCTCGATGAGCGTCGGAAGGCCAACGATTCCGAGACCGCGCCGGCCAAGTCTGTGGTTACACGGATCGTGGGTCTTCATGAGGGGCGGGGATCCACATCCACTAATCACACGACTGGTACAGCGAGGACTGGGGCAGTGGGCACGCTCAAGAATGGCTCAGTGCGTGCCCTAGTCACCTCGCCCACGCCAGGTAGTACCTCCAATCATGCTAGTACAGTTCCGGCGCACCGACATCATGGATCTCAGCCTCATGGGCGATATAATGCGATGGGACTGCCCATGGCAGATAATGTCTCCCTACTCAGACCAGGAACCTCAATGTCACACGCGTCACAGAAAACGGGCGTACTGACCACTGCGTCATGGAGCGAGGCCGCCCAAGAAGACCTTGTCATGAACCTAGGACAGCGAGAGCGGACACGACAGGAAGTTTTATGGGAGATTGTCGCTTCAGAGCAAAGGTATCTTTCTTTTGCATCAAACACGTGTATCATTGATCATGGGCTAATCCGAAAATATCTAACAGATATGTACACGAATTGATGATGATGAAGGAAAGCTTCATTGATCCACTACTACACCCCTTTGCGGTAAATCCTCTGGGTGCTCAGAGCGACGACGAGTATCGGAGTGACTCACCTGTCCAATCCTTTGAGCATTTGCCTATTGCGTCTCGGTTCCTCGGGCCAATGTCTCTTCGGTCTCCCACCCCGAACACACCTAATACTGCTGTTTCAAGCCAGCGCACACCCATGATCCCTACTCCAGACCAGGATTCCGACACAGACCAAGGCGAATATGACGAGCCTGGAGCCAACGCGGGCAAACTTATTGCGTCTGCCAAGACTGGGAAGAAGAATAGTGTAGCGCTTTCTGCTGCTGCCAAAGCGAATCACCCGAGATCGCCGTATGGGACAGCTTCGAGGGCTGGAGGTGCTACTGCAGCCATGGGCGTCAATCCAAGGATAGCAAGGATCACGACTCAAGTATCTTCGCGATCTCATCAATCTTTGCCACCCCCGCCACGATCAAATACTACACCAGCTGGAGGGGCCACCTCTACTACTTCACTCGGCAAGAAGTCTACGCATGACGAACGGGAACCAAATAGGCCTGCCACGACCGAGCCAACTCGCCATCGGACTAGTAGACATGCTCATTTCGCTCCCTCCCCACCTCCTGGCCGTGTCCTCAAGAAGACAAGAAAGAATTCAGAGGATAGACCACGGTTGGTCGCTTTCCCTGGAGCTGTTCCACCCCATGTTCTCCCTGAGGATCTCCGCAAGTGTCTGGAGGTGATTGAAACTGGCATCCTAATGGGCCATTTGAAATTAAGTGAAGCATTGAGGAAGCGTTACGACGAACAGTATCCGCTAGTCAGAAGCCTGGCGGATGTTTTCGTGGGAAATGTGAGTTTTATTTATATTACATGACGAGCAGTTATTTACGATCGTGGCCAGTCCGATATTCTCACTGAATATGCAACCTATGTGCTGCATTTGGAAAAAGCCCTTGAGCAGGTTGAGAATGCAATCAACGCTGCGAATCCCTTGAAGCGCTCACGGCAGCCAGAGTCAACTGATCAGGTCAAGATCGGAAAGCTTCTGCTCGTAAGTAATTACCGCCATTGTTATCGCGTTAGACTAAAATGATCTACATAGGCCCTCGATAAAGCCGCTGGGGAACGTGGAGAGACTGGCCTAGCGATTTCCTTATCAAAGCCATTCCAACGTCTCTTGAAATATCCATTGCTCTTCCAGAATCTGCTCTTTCATACAGATCCTTCAACATTTGAGTACGAAAGTACTCTGCAGATGGTTTCTGAGGTCGAAACTATCGTACGCTCCATTGAAGATGAAAAGATTCAAAAGGAGGAACGTGATAAGACACGTGACGCTATAGCGCGTATTGATGGGCTCGAAAAAGATAAGGTGAGATGGGTGTATAGTAGGTCTGTCTACTTGGCTGATAATTCTTCCTTTAGATGCTTGCGGTATTCAAGCCGTCAAGACTGTTGATAGAAGAGCGTCCTCAGGAAGGCTCTTTTGCTGACCTCCAGGCCAAAACGCCGCCTCCTGTATCTGGTAACAGTGCAAGAAACCAAGGTGTCAAACAAAAGGCCTCGTTCCGACGAATAAGCGAAGTTTTGCAGTCCAAAGAAGAGAAGAACGGACTCGGGAGCAAGCGAGATCTATGGCTTGTTGTATTCAATGATGTGGTTCTCTTGTGTCAACGTATTGGCACAACAACTCTTCCACTTTCCACTAGCGCCAATCCGAGGTCCAACTCCCTCCCTGATACCCAAGGCAAATCAAAATACAGTACGAATGGAAAGCGCACTTCGGCCGTGCGACCTCGAAACTTGTATCGTTTGATTAAGATCGAGAGCTGGACCATCAACGACAAGCCCAAACCGCGCGAGCTTGTCTCAAAGGAAGCGTAAGTATCGTTAACTTGATATTAAATACAAATAATTGATTTGTCTCTAGTATTGAGAGATGGCGGACTCAACAGGCCAGTGGGCATCTCTTGGGCTCGGGAGATGAGCCAGAGGAGGAGGGTGAAGGCGAGGAATCAGATGATTCAGATCGCAAGAGCAAGATGAGCTTCTCTTACTGGGGAGCAGACAAAGTCACTCTTACGAAGCCAGTGGCCCGCAGAGGCGTTCCCACCAATGCCTCTCGTACTCAACTCCGTACCAAACCCGTTGCGCCATCATCGTTTGCCGGTCGCCAGTCAGAGAAAGACGCAAAGTTTGGAGGTCGTTTACGCTCGCCAGAGAACAGCGATGGTAGTGTTGTTGGCTCGAACAGACCCAACAGCCGACGAACTGGCCCAACAGCATCACCATCCATGGCAAGGAAGAACATTGTCAGCACTACAGCTGATTCCAAGTTCACTACTGGAAGCATGATATCTGTCACATCCAAGACCGACAACGGGAGGGCAAGTACAGCTACTGTAACCGCACAACCTGCGAAACGAGTCCGAAACGTCTCTATCACGAGTGGCCAACCACGGGTTGGTAACACCAAGACTTTGAGCGCGGTTCCATCGGAAGACTCGGGGGTGGGCATGTACCGCCAGATTATTGCCTATGATCCAAGCATCTCAACCACGAAATCATGACCTTCATTACTTCTTGCGATACCCTTTCTCGGCCCTGTTACGATTCAACAAAGGATTTTCTTCGCACGTTACGATCCATACGTTGGGTGACCAGCAACAAAGGACATTTAAAGCTTTCAGATATCTAATTATCTGTTATCACCCTATTCTGTTGATCGACGTCACGCAAAGCAAATCACTGCAACGAAATATCCAATTAACATATTAACTCACTCTCTTATTGCTTATGGAGCCCTTTTTATACAAAGAATTTTGTCTTGTTTCGGCTTCCTTTTTTGCATTTCAT